ATGTATTCCTTTCCCTTTCTTTATTTTTGCAGCAGACTTTGTCTTCCCATCTCTCCCTGAGGGATGAGTAGCTGGGGTTTTATCTTTCTGGCTGCAATTCTCTCCTGCCAAGATTCTGACAACAATTCTGGGGTCTTAATAACAGACTTTGAATAGGGGAGGGAGAAGACGGGTGAAAAGGAAAGGGAAAAGCAAGGAAAAGAAGCTGAAAGATGAAAGGGGAAATGGGTCAAAGGAATGAAACAGCTCTGAAATCCAAGAGCCTCGCCAGCTGGCTTTTTGCCAGGGCATTCTGGCGATCTGGTCAGTCCTTACAAATTCAAGCCATGGTTATCTCTGTGTTTGTGGAAACTTTTTCAGGAGGAAAGTCCTTCTAACCTGTGGAGGGACATCTGGGAGCTGCCCGGGGGGACAGTAAACTCTTTCCTGAAACGGGGAAAGGGTGTCCTTTGCCAGTTTTTGACAAGAGTTATCCGAAACGTGCTGCATTCTACCTCTTGAAGTATGTCTGTGCCCAGTCTGAATCTTCTCTTCCCTTAACTACACATCCTGTGCAGTGCCAGCTAATCCCTACCACCTTCCTTTCCTCTCTTCTGGCTACCCAGAAATGTCCTGATTACACTCACTCTTGCAGAAAAAGGAGTCCCCAATTTATAAGTTTAAAAATTTAATAGGAAATCTGTATCTGGTGAATACCTCTTTCCAAAAGAAGTTGTGATAAATTCTAGTCTGCTTTATGTTGAGACATACGGTATACAATGAGGTCTTCTCAATGTTGATGTTAACTGTCAGGAACCTCAACAATATTTGAAACCTGGAGCAAAACCAAAGGAAGATGGTAAAATGTAAAACCCATATATCAAGCATGATAGGCTCTTCTGGAAGGCTTTGTACAAATCCACTTGAGAAATGGATTTGGCAATTGACTTCAATGAGTCATTTTGAAATTCATTATGGCACAAAATGTCTTTCAAACCTATGTCAGTAAGTCATAAAGAATTGACATTAAAAATTATTCATAGATGCTTTTCACTTTTTAAAATGTCCATTACATTTAATTGAAGTTTTTTAGGTTCTCTTAGAGCAGGGGTGTCCAACCTTGGCAAGCTGGCTGAGGAATTCTGGGAGTTGAAGTCCACAAGTCTTAAAGTTGCCAAGGTTGGACACCCCTGTCTTAGAGACTTTTATTCAAACTGATGTCTGTTGTCAGCTGGGTGGCAGTGTTCATGTAGTTAATTCATTTTTGGTGAAAGCTTTGAGAAAGTAAGACAAATTATCTTATCTACTTTTGGTATTTAGTTCTAGTGTGGCTTTATTATCTGTTTCTTCAGAGGTAGTTGTAATTATTTATGATAATAATAATAGAGGCAGAGTTAAGCATGTTGAAACCTTATTGATTTGGGCAATAGAAGCAAACAAGTTGTCAGTCCTGCATCAGCTTGAATCTTTAAATAAAAACAACCCTTGACTCCATTCAGTGGAAAAGACATGAGCCAGAACTGAAGTTCATGCGGCAAAACTCTGAGTTTAAAACTTTAGGCACTCCCCATTGCTAGTCCCTCACTGCTCAATCGCGTTTTGAATTAGATGTTTTGGAAACAGCCACTCTGCTTGTAGGCTGCAGGTGCATTCTTCTCATTGCGGCACGATCTTGGGATGCCACCTCGGCCAAGCACTCTCACTCTCTTAACATTTACTTTCTCCCCCCCACCTGCCACTTCTCTATCCCCCTCCCAGGGTTCATGGCAGACTGGACCTGAAGTGATTGCAGAAAGCAGACGTGAAGTGGCAGTTCTGACACATAGATAAATAAATAAAACCGAAACGCACTCAATTCTACTTGGATTTATTAATGTTTCTTTCTATTAGATAAAACATTCCATTCTGACAAGGATATAGCTTTCTGAAATGTGTACTCTTTCTGTAATTAAGACAGACATTGTTGCATTGAATTTCCCACCCATTAATATTTGGGTAACATTAATGAAGAGCACCACTTTATCTGTAACCTTTTTGAGCTTATCCCATAAGTGCAGAGAAGAGAAAGATGTTGTCAGTCCTGCCCCAATTTGGTCCCTTAAGTTAGAACTCCCATTTGGTGTGAAAGATTTGCTTCACCAAAGGTCAAGTGGATTACAGAATAGCAAAGCCAGAACTGAGTTTCACGCGCCCACTTTTCTCGGTTAACTTTTCCCCATTTGTCCCCTCTCATTGTTGATCCCTCATTGTCCAATCATATTCAAAGAAAATGTTTTGGGAATGTTCTCTTCAACTGTAGACTAGGTGGTGCGGAGGTGCCTGCCTTCCCAGGTGTCTGACCTTGAAGGTGTGTCTCTAGAAGGTACGATGAGTCATCAGACTCCCCACTCCCATCCATCTCTCTCCCCCCATAGTTCATGGCAGACAGGCAGCTAGCAAATGCAAAGTGAAGTTTTAACAGATATCTTTTTATTTGCTTTCCCCTTCTCATTTTTCACTACTTGGAAAAAAAACAAAACAGATTACTCCTTCAGCTGATAAACTTTTCCTTTGATTCACCTATTCTATACTTTATATAGAGGAAGTGGTGATTCAGTGGCTAAGACACTGAGCTTGTCGATCAGAAAGGTTGGCAGTTCAGCGGTTCAAATCCCTAGCACCGCGTAACGGAGTGAGCTCCTGTTACTTGTTCCAGCTTCTGCCAACATAGCAGTTAGAAAGTCAGAAAGGTTGGCAGTTCAGCGGTTCAAATCCCTAGCACCGCGTAACGGAGTGAGCTCCTGTTACTTGTCCCAGCTTCTACCAACCTAGCAGTTCGAAAGCTTGTAAAAATACAAGTAGAAAAATAGGGACCATCTCGGTGGGAAAGTAACAGTGTTCCCTGCGCCTTCGGCATTTAGTCATGCCGGCCACACAACCACAGAGACGTCTTCGGACAGCGCTAGCTCTTCGGCTTTGTAACAGAGGTGAGCACTGCCCCCTACAGCTGCAAATGGCTAGCAAGTATGTGCGAGGGGAACCTTTACCTTATATAGAGTTCCCCAACCTTTCCAACGTTACAGACTGTTGGGGGGGGAGAGAGTTTTGTGCAAGCAGCAGGGAAGCACCCATGTGTGCACAGCTCCATTTGCGCAAACCACAGGCACAGTGTCGGCTGCTTGCACAAACAGTGCACATGCATGTACTCACCCTCCACTTGCACAAGGGGGCATGAGTGCACTTGCCTGCCACTTCAGGTGGCTGGCTTTTGAACAGCTCATGGCCTGGTAGTGGCCTATGGCCCCAGGGGTTAAGGTTCCTTGCCTTGTGTTATACATCTGTGGTCCATGAAAAGGCTGCTTTGCAACATTGAAGTCTGATGTAAAGATAATTTACTTTTACTTTTCAATGTGTACAATTTTTTCAGAAAATAATTCAGTGGAAGTTTTTTTTGTTGAATTACTTGCAGTGCCTGCATTTCAAGTGTAATGACAGCCCGTTGTTAATAAAAGTAATTTTAAGTGAATGGGATTGTAAAAGCCTAAAATTACATTTAATATCTCTTACATATAAATGCATGGGAGAGTTTTAGATTGGATGCTTTTGCTGAGCAGCCAAATGCAGTTGAATGACAATGAATCACCGTTGTCTTCCTTTTTAACAGGTTTGCTCAAGTTCTTATAACTTTAAAAATCCTTTGCTAAGAATACTGTATAGAAATTTGCTTCTGGTATAGCATTTTCTTTTTCTGTAAACTTCAATGATTATAATTTTATAAATCAAGTGCACGGCAACTCTTTTTTTTTAGAATAAAAAAATAGTGTTTTTTTTAAAAAAATAATGGACGTCTTTGGTGTCATAGTGCTTTTTGTTGACATGTTTCAAACATTCGTTGGTTTCCCAGTGCAGAAACCTGTAGACTCCACACTCCTGTAGCCAAAATTCATCACTCCCTCCCTATTGCTGGGAGGCAGCAAAAGCATAAACTTTCTGTCTGTTTTTTTTTTTTTAAATCAAAGATTGTATGGTCATAGGGCAGCTATTTGTTCTGTATACGGCTAGAGGTGTTGATTTAAGTTTTATTTCAAATACATGTTGCCATGTTCTGTAACAAAATATACTTATTTTGAGTAAATGTGTCTAGCATCTGGGCAGCAGAAGCAAACATTTCATTTCAGCTCTTGGTTTCGTGTTTATGGATCAAACTGTTAGGTGGATCTTAGAAATACAGGCGCGTGGTTCAAAGCTGGAATGGGGATGGACAGGAGAAGGGAAATATAAACACTATACTTCACAGATGATGTGATATGAGTAGCTCCTTGGTGGAGGAATAAAGTTTAAGATCCTTACGTCTACAATTACCTAGTTGCACTACTAAATACAGGTAGTCCTTGACTTACGACCACAAATGAGCCCAAGTATTGTGGCACTCTACAAAATTCCACTTGGATTAAATGTTACAAACAACATACCATGTTTCCCTGAAAATAAGACCAGGTCTTATTTTCTTTTGGGCTCCAAAATAACTACTAGGGTTTATTTTTGGGTAGTGTTTTGCTTTCACCCCCATGTATAGGAGGCCCACTTCTGCTTTCTTGTGGCAGGGCAGGAGGCCAAGGGGCATCCAGGTCATCCACGCCCTGACCCTTGCCTCACCTTGTGGCCATGACACCAACACCATTGCAGCCATGAGCAAACAGAAGAACTGGGCTAGCGGCCACATGGGCTCCTGCTGCACATGGCTGCTGGGGCTGCCACCACAAAGCAGTTATTGGGCATTGAAGGCCTGGCTGCAGGCACCCTGGTGTGAGGCACATGGACCGGTTGCACCACCACCCGTCTTACCTCATGGCCACAGCACCGCGAGCCACCAGACAGGAATGGGCAGGCAGCTGGCTGCATAGGCTCTTAAGCAGGCTCAAGCGTAAAAACATGCTAGGGCTTATTTTCAGGGAAAGTGGGTAGTAATACAAAGTAATACAAAGAACAACCACAGCCACTGGTTGGAATTTCCCTCTAACTTCTTTTTCTTTCTCTCACAGGAACTTTTTACGCCAGAATGTAAGTTTAAGGAGTCTGTTTTTGAAAATTATTATGTAATCTACTCGTCGATGCTGTACAGACAGCAAGAGTCGGGTAGGGCCTGGTTTCTGGGGCTCAACAAAGAAGGGCAAGTCATGAAAGGCAATAGAGTGAAGAAAACAAAACCAGCAGCTCATTTTCTACCGAAACCATTGGAAGGTAAGCTGACTTTGACACAGCATCGCATGTATCAAAACATTGCAAAAACCTGTCATCCTTCAGGTTGACTTTCAAATGATAACTGCTCTGGCACCCTTGCATGTTGTTTCCTAACTCTCCGTTTGATACCTCCGTACTTCGTATTTTGTGTCTGATTTTTTCCCCCCTACCTGAAAAGACTATGGATGAAAAGCTCTTTGGTGGCAATCTCTGAACTGGGCAGGAATATGGAAAGCTTTTCTGAAAACAAATTCAAGTCTGAACATGAGAAAGACTCTCTCCCATTCTTGCTAAAAACTCAGCCAGAGACAATATATAAGTGATCCTTCTTTTACTCTCCGTCCTTTTAAGCACTATGGGGTGAGAAAAGTATTGATCTTTCTTATTTAGCTGTTGCTTAAGGATTTCTGAGGTAATGTGTATATGAAAATGATTTTGTTTGAAAGTACAAAATGCTGTAACTCTGTTATTCCAAAGGAAAGGTTAGAGTCCAAGGTGAAATGGAAAAAAACAACATCACCTGGGGAAATTTGGCTCACAGTATGTTCTTCTTTATTTCTAATAATAGTAGTAGTAAATGCCTTGGGGGCAATCCCAAATGTTCTGGAGCACCACTTGTACACCAGCAGCACTGACAAAATTACCATTGGTCAATTGCAAAAGACCTCTTTCTTTGGAACAGTTTCCATCCTGCAATGATAGCTTTATTGTTGCAACAGCATCATCACTCTATCCCAGATCTTTGGGAAGGATTTATTTGGCATTAAAATGGCAAATCCAGTCTAAACATCTGGCTGACTGTGACTAACCATAATAATGATGAAGTCTCAATGCATATGAAGGCCAGCACCAGCTAAGGAAGTAGCAACTGTGATTTCACATTGTTGTGTGTGTAATAATAATAAAGAAAACATGGATAGTAACAATAGTAATTGGTACCTGGAGTACAATCAAAGCCATAGGACAGTGATGATGAACGTTTCTGTTGTGTTGTGCCGAAAGTGCGCGTGCACCGGCACCCACAATGCAATGCACCCTGCCCCCCCTGTGCATGTGCACTCAACACCCCACCCTGCCCCCTTACCTGCACTGCACATGCATGTGCCTCCCAGCTGATTTTCGGCCCAGTGTGAAGCCGTTTTCACCTTCCCGGAGGCTTGAGGGAAGCCTCTGCAGCCTCGGGAGGCTGAAAAATGGGCCTTCCGGAAATACCGGAAGTGCCTGTTTTCAGCCTCCAGAAGGCCTCTGGAGCCCAGGCGAGGCCACTTTCGCTCTCCCGGAGGCTCAAGAGAAGCCTCTGGAACCTTGGGAGGCTGAAAACAGGCCCATTTTGAGACTTTCGGTATTTCTAAAAGGCCCGTTTTTCGGCCTCCCAAGGCAGTAGAGCCTTCCCTTGAGCCTCCAGGAGGGCAAAAACAGCCTCAAACAGGCCAAAAATCAGCTGGGAGGTGCACACATGCACAGTGCAGGTAAGTTTGTTTGGGGCTCATATGCCCGCAGAAATGGCTCTGCGTGCCACCTGTGGCGGGCATGCCATAGGTTCGCCATCACAGCCATAGGAGCACCATTTGCATACTATTGTCATCGACAGAATCAGTCAATTGCAAAAGGCAACTTCACATGGAACAGTTTATATCCTAGACTTGATAGGGAGATAAAAATGTCCAATCCAGTCTAAATATCTATCTGGCTGAGTGTGTAATCAACCATAATATTAAATGTGCATTAAAGATTATCTGGAGTCATCTGATGTTGCTTTCCCCTGTTGCTTGAATTATTTCTGTTGGTAGCTCCTCTATTCCTGAGGCTTTGTATTTGGGTGACTTCTTGCCACTTCCTCAAGCAGCATTTCTGGCTCCAGCGCTGTTGTTTTTTGCTCTTATGTTGCTTCTTTGTGACAATCTCCTAGAGGTTTAAAAAGCTCTTGAAAGTGTTCTTTCCATATAGTTAAAGTTACTAATCATTTCTGACCGGAATATTTCTACAACTTCACAGGTGCTCTTTGCTTCAGCAAACTTCCAACATTTATATGGCCCTTTCCAATTAATTTTAGTTTCTTATATAGAGGTTGGCAGACTTTGAGTGCCCACTGAAAATCCACCACCAATTGTTAAATATTATAAATATGCTTCTCAAATATTAATGTATACTTCTTGTTTGTAATGCTACTCTGTGACCGTAATTTTTTTTTAAATGTATAGAGATCAAATACCACCGATGGATCAGTTGCATGTAATTTTCCTTTATCTTTGATGATATAGAACAGGAGTCTCCAAACTTGGCAACTTTAAGACTTGTGGACTTCAACTCCCAGAATTCCCCAACCAGAATGGCTGGCTGAGGAATTCTGGGAGTTGAAGTCTACAAGTCTTAAAGTTTTCAAGTTTGGAGACCATTGATATAGAACATACCGTAAGATTCTTTCAAAGTATAGTCCATTATGTATCTGAAATATTATACATGTAGCCCTCATTTAGCTTCTGCCTTCTCCAGTGACCTTTTGTAATTGTAATTTTAATGAAAGAGTAACCGTATATCCAATGCTTGCATTTATGACCTTTGCAAATTTGTAAAAGCAAAAGAAAACTGAAGTAAGATAATAAGCCAAATGGAAGGGAAGGGAATAGATTCTTTATTGGCCAAGCATGATTGGACACACAAGGAATTTGTGTCTGGTGCATAAGCTCTCAGTGTACATACAAACAACAAAGTGATAAGTAATAATCATAAATCCTAAGATACAATCATAAATTATAAGATACAAACAACAATTGATAATCATAATATACACACAGAGAGAGTATATGCTTTCATAAAATATATCAGTGCTGCTCTTTGATTTGTCAATCACGTAGTGCCCATCATATATATATATTGTCTGAGTTAAAATTATGCATAGTATGCGTATATTTAGAAAGCCCCATCCGCCTTTTAGGGATTTCAAAAATCATAGACTTTTTTGTTTTTCTCAATCTTTTTCTATTAAACATAATTTGTTGCCAGGAATTCAAGGCCTTAGAATTAAGATTATATTAGTATATTTTAGAAATAGGAAAACAAGTTGGATAACTATTTTGCCCACAACAAAATAGATTGACTTGCCCAAACCAGATAAAGTGATGCACTTTTTCTTTTACATTGTTTCCAACAGCAAACTATAATTTAACACGTTTGGTTCAGCTAAGATTTCTTGGGATATTCATTCTCCTAAATATCTTGCCGACTTTTGAAGATTTGAATATCATAGTGCTTCTTAATTTCTTTCTATAGCTTTCTGCCTATGTATGAAAAGAACCTCAGTGTTTTGATAGCTAATTTTAAATCTTGCTAAATTTACATTGCGGATCATGTATTGGGTAATTATTGGCAGTTTTTATATTGGTTTAGATAAAAAGTTTGTATTGTTATTGGCACTTACTTTCACATCCTGTTCACATAAAAATGTACCATCTTACATTCGTTATTTTGGATTGATGCACAAGGTTAGAGCTTTTCCATGGAGATAGAAGTTCACTTATATCCACAGCATGTGTTATGCTGACTTTAGCATGTTATTTATAAATAACCCTTAATAACACAAAATAAATAAAATGGAAACAAAGAAAGTCAAGAAAAGTTTAAGCAATCAAACATAGTGACAATTTGTCAGAATTCCATTCATGGCTATTTCGTGGTAAATTCTGCTGAGTTCAATATTGTCTAATCTGGGTAAGTGAAAATCAAATTGTGGTTTAATCATGCTGAAAAAATGATTAGGGTGAACACTTAAAGATCCTGCTCTGTATTAGCCAATTAAGTTATATACTGTACTAAATAAGAGTGTGTCCACTCCACTGCTGCTGAGTGATGTTTTAAATGGCTCTCTCTTCCCCTCTGCATGTTAATGCCCTACAGTCCTTGCCCCATTTACAATTCATATTTTCTCTAACAAAAACAGTTTTGTGCCACAATATATCTTAGTCACAATGTTGTTTTTGCTGCAGCCAAATAATACAGCTGCCTTTCTAGACTTTTCCACAAACACTAAAACAGATTTTGAAAATGGGCAGACATAACACTCTAATTTAAATACATCAGTGGTGGGATTCAATTTTTTTTACTACTGGTTCTGTGGGTATGGCTTTGTGGGCTTGGCATGGCAGGGGAAGGATACTGCAAAATCCCCATTCCCTCCCCACTCCTGGCGGAAGGTTACCACTGGTTTCCTGAACTACTCAAAATTTCCATACCGGTTCTCCAGAACTGGTCAGAACCTGCTGAATACCACCTCTGAAATACATCTTTAATTTTAATCAGCTTTGCTTAGATTGCACATATTTTACACTTCGCTTTTTAATCGTAGATATATATCTGAGGGAAGTCACTATGTGGCCAAAGCATGAATGTGTGTGTGTTGTTTTATATTGCGTTATATTTTTTTAAAAAATAAACCAGCTCTGCATCAGATTTAAAGAAGGGTGGTCTGATATTTTGCACTGAAATAAGTGCAGGAACAAACTTTGCTAGCATGTTTGACTTAACACGGATTTCTCTTTTCTCCCTAATACTATAGTTGCCATGTACCGAGAACCCTCTCTACATGATGTTGGGGAAACAGTGCCAAAGGCTGGGGTGACGCCAAGTAAAAGCACAAGTGCATCGGCAATAATGAATGGAGGAAAACCAGTGAACAAGAGTAAGACCACATAGCCAGAGCCTCGTGGATGTTGTGACTTACTGAACTCTCTTATGTACAGCTGAGCACTTTATCCTTGCAAAACTATCCCAGTCTGGTGTCTGCGGATTAGCTGGAAGCAAGCGACGGCTTGCTCTGTGCTCTTTCCAAATCTGTAACTCCTCCCACAGCAAAGACTTTTGGATGACCAGCTGAACTCCGACCATAGAATGCCCTACCAGATATGGAATGCCTTTTAATCTCTTTCTGTGACTGTGACACCTCATGTGAATGGCATACTTCACAAGTACACTTGATATCTCTTGCCTGCTGACAGTTACCCGTAACTCCCCCCCCCCTCCTTTGGAGCCCAGGAGACCCCCCGTGTGTTAAGTTCAATTTTGTAGCCCACAGAATAATAACAAGTAATTTCTAGGTAGATGCTGTAAAACCTGTGCTATTATGGATTTTTTCTTCCTCCTCTTTTTTAATGAGGCTGCTTGCTCCGCTGTCTGTGTGACTCCTTTGCAGGGATTATGTTTTGCTCAGATTGAAGTGTTGCTGATGGCTTAGTTTTAGAAAGCAATCAGAGAATTAGGGGAGCCTTCAAAACCCTGTTAGGGATCATACCTGTAAAAGATAGGATCATTGCAAATAAGGATTCCGCTTGAATAAAAGTCCAGTATGTTCCCGAGGAGGCAAAAGCATCACGTGTGGCTAGTCAACAACCTTTCAAGGCCAATGTTTGATACCCCCCTGTGTGTGCGTGTGTGTGTTTTATACATATCACAGACTTACTGGTAATGGTAACATTTGCCTTGCCCAGCGAGCAAGACCCACATATTTTTAAGAAAGTGGGTCCAAAGTACTCTGTAGGCCTTGTAGGCCTGAATTAAGGCTCATTTTTCATCTACTAGTACTCATTATCTGAAATCCAAAAGAAAAAAAAAATTCGAATGAATGGGAATTCCGCTACCTATGTCTCTTTCAAAACAATAGATTCCTTCTCCTGTTTTTAAACAATGGAACGTAACCCCATCTTTATTTATGGCTGTAGTTCACTCTTACTCAGCAAAGCATGAGCAAGGAAGTTGTGTTTTTCTCTGCAGCACCAATGCAAAAGATAGTTACAGATTATACTTTAATATTTTCAGTGTTAAAAAGAGAGGAAAGATTTTTAACATATTTGAAGGTTTCCTTTGCATTTTTTTGATAGCTTAGCATGCAAAGTCCAGGCAATATATTATTTTATCTATACCACAGCACTATGTTTCCAGTCCAGCTTCGTAGGATATTATGGCCACCAAATTGCTAGATTTTCGGTGCCTTGCATTTATCTTATTATTTTGGTTTTCCCTGTATTCTACAAATTGAAGAGAATTCTAACAAAAGAACAAGGTCAAGAATGTTTCTCTTTTGATTATTAAATGAAATAAATACTAGTATTTTTTGGATAGAGAGCCTTGAGGCCAAAATGAAAGAATAGTAACAGGCTATTCTTACAAAACACTCTTAGACAAATCGATAAATTTTTGAAAGTAGATACTGGGAAACTAAGTTGAAAGCATGATGTGGACCAAAATGTATCTTTGTTCTGGAAAATCATGTATGAAACGTCTAAACATTTGCACTCATGTTTGTTTTCCATTTAAATTTTGGAACTTTTTTTTCAAAGTGGTTTTAAATTTGGTTGACTTTTCATAGTTATTATGGAATGTTCAGATTTCCTATTTGGTTTGGTGGTAAGAGATTAAAGTTTGAATTAACTCTTGAATCTTGATTCATAACAGCTTCTATTTGAACAAGCAAGCCCTTAAGGTATGTGTGAATAGATCTCACATTGCTACTAGGTTATTCATGTACAACAGGAGTATTTGACCCTCCAATTTCTTGGTTTCTCCATACATGGTAAGAGGCTGTTTTAAGTTGATTTCTTTCAGCCACACAACTGAAGCACATTAAACATTGTTCTGTTGCCAGAATTTAGTAGCATTTTTAAAAACAACAAAAAATTACGGTGTTTTACAACAAAGGAAAGAATTGGTGCGCAAAATGAACTATAAACATCATTTTCCTCCTTGGCTTCTACAGAAGGAATATCTTTGAGGTTCCTCTTGGGAAGAAGGCCTTTTATTTTATTTTATTTTATCCTCATGCAGGGTAGAAAGGAGCCATTCTAGTTCCCCACAAGTGGATCAGCCTTGGCCTGGATGACTTCAGAAACCATGCCACTTCAGGGGCTCTGCATAATAGGCACAGAATTGGTGTCTGTCCAACTCTGCCAGCCCGTCACGTTTTATTCTGAATTTTGAAAGTTTTTTTCCCCTAGAGCCCCAGTTATTAGAGACTGCCGGAAATGACTAGCACGTATGTGCGAGGGGAACCTTTACCTTTACCTTTATACTTTCTGTATTGTGCAACTGAAAGCTCTAAAACAAGAGTGCAAAATAAAATGTGAAATGTATTATTTCTCTTTCATTTTGATGATGATGTATGAAGCTGGAGAGGGACAGGTTGGGGGGCTTGTGGATCACCTCAGGACTTGGAACCAAACATAAAGCACCAAGCATAAGGTGAGGTAACACCAGTCTGTCAGCTCATTTTATAATGCCAGTGAGATTTTTTTTTTCCTCTCTACACCTGCTGCTCCAGGCTTGTACTTACTGCATAATTCTTCTGCTGGGGCACCTTTTTTTCTCTCTTTCCATGTACAAAGAAGCTTTGAGGCCAGAATCAAGGTTAGCCAAAGAGAACTATTCTCTTTTGCCAAGTTGCAATACATTCCCTTAATTTTTACATTTGTGCCCATACTGCCATGTCAACCAGCCATGTAGTTAACAAGAAGACCGAGTTCATGTTTGTAAATGATTGACACTGTATACTATAAGTAGAACACACTTATTCCTCTCTTTGTTGCAATGGATGTAGATGGCCTTCACACCTTCCATGACTGGGAGGATCTTAAATAAGCTTATTTGAGAATCTAAATCCATTTCAGCAGAGAGGAGAGACTGTGTGGTTCCTTGTGCTTTAGTTAACTTTTTTTTAAGTTTGTCTCATCTGTTTGCATGGGAAAAGGATGGTAATAATGAATTGCATGTAGTAGGCTATATGTATCAGACCTGTTGGTATGTACTGCAAAACTGACATACATATAAGCAACAAGTTCGTCTGCATTGTACAGTTTGTGTTTATTACCATTTTGTTGTATACACACATACAGCATATTGAATAAAATATTTATATGAAACACATATTTAAAAATACCCTTTACATATTTTTTTTAAATGTGCAAAAAGTAGCACAGCATCGGTTGCAGCATAATGAGGCATGAAAACAATTTGGCAAAACTCAATTCTCTTTCCCCAGATCATGCCAAAGAAAATCTGAGGGAGGTCCTTGGTTTTATTATCTCTCTTGCTGTTTTCCAGGACAAGATGACACCTTTGGTTCCCTTTCAAATTAATTTTGCTGTCAAGTGAAACTTTCTTTTTGGCTGCCTGTTATTTCCTAAAGAATTGTACAGTCAATCTGATGGAATCAATTTGTAACTATAGATTGTGTGTTTTATACTTCCATATACACTATCTTTATGATGACTGAGCCTTCTCCATTAAGTTTTCTCATTTGGCTCTTAATCCACAAGTCAGTTGCTGGAATACCTGAAATAGGGGCAATATTATCAATAAAGACCAGTCAAGTCATGCACTTCTAATTCAGTTGGAGGAGTTTGAACTGGCCCCCTCTTAAGCTGGCATTCATATCTACAGAGAGAACATTTTCCACTCGTGCATTGAGAAATTATTCTAAATTAAAGGGCAAGGTCAGAAGCAAGAATCATAGCAGTGGTTCCTGAGTCCCCTCTCCATAATGAGTGGGACCATAAAGTTGTATGTGGAAAGGTTATATATATATTTCAGAAAATTTCAGAAGATTAAGTATAAATATGTGTGTGCGTGTGTGTGTGTGTATATATGTATATGTACATATATCTTCTGAAATTTTCTCCCAAAACAAGCCTTAGCCTCTATTTAATTTGGCTTTTAATTTGGAACACCTCAACCTAAAAAGAAATCCCTTGAGCAAACTTAGTTTTACTCACTGACATCTGCTTCAATTTAGTCTTTAAGAGGCAAAATTAAAAAAAAAAACATTTTGGGTAAAATATTATTAAATAAAATGTGAGTTAACTGTTTCTTCTGTTTCTTGCCAAAATATTAGATAAGTAGATTTTTCCCATCTTTTCCCATTTCCTAGTTAGCCTTATTAGTCCAGCAACATTCATAAACTCCATATCAAAATATGGAATGTATCCAGTGGTGCGATTCAAATAATTTAATGACCGATTCTCTACCCTAATGATTTCTTTCAACAAGTAGTTAACTAAACTGCTCACGGTTAACAACCGGTTCTCCCAAAGTGGTGCAAACTGGCTGAATCCCACCATCGAATGTATCCCTATGCATTTATATCTGATCCACTTGAAATAAGTCTGTAGTAAAATAACTAAGAATAAAAGTGAAACTGGACCTTTGGCTAAAACCTACCCAATGATTGTGCCACAATAGTGCAACAGCTGATTTGACTTACAGTATAATCTAATTTATAGCCAAGAAAATTGGAATTTGGTCTAGACCTGTGTTCTCAGCCTTGGCAACTTTAAGATGTATAGATTTCAATTCCCATTTTAAAGTTGGTAAATTACGTAGGCAATATAGCCAAAGGCCACAAATACCCAAACACCAATGTTTAAAAGTGCTTGTTTTAACACAACATTTGCAGTATTTATAAAAAGCATGAAGGAGACTGCTCAAGAAACAGCCCAAGTACCTTCTTCCAACATCCTTTTATTCAGAGCTTCTTCTGCTGAGATGCATAAAGCTACTTTGATTACTATTTGGGAGTAGATGTGTAATAACTCTTTTTCATTAGACCTAAATTAACCTCCCAAAGAAATTTTCAAAGTTGTCGAATGTCAAAAACTAGTGGTGGCTTTCTGAGTGCCAAGAGCTTAATTAAGAAGAAACATTCAAACATATAGGATTTAATCTGCACTTTTAAGTAAGAATACATCTTATATTGCTAGTTATTCCTGAATGTTTAATTGGCTTTAAAATGATATATTTTGAAATTGTTAATGTGTATCCCTGTAGAAATTATAACTGCATTAGAGTCCTGCTTAATAGCAAATTCTGCTATCTACTCTCCCAAATCTATAAATGAGGATAGAACTGTGTACAAGAAATGCAATGGCATCTTACTCCCTTATTATTTCCCAATCTTCCCTAAATATTAAAAGAGAGTTATTTTATATGTAGCATGTGATGTAATAATATTAGTTATAAACAAAAAGGGATCTAATCTTATCCCAGATGCACTATGGAATGGGAGATTTAATAATTTCCTCCCACCATCAATAAACCTATAATTCTTGGGTGGGCCATTTCAGCCCATTGTTACCAACGATGAGCAAGCAGCCATATTTTTTTAATGTATGATAGCTGGCTTTGTCTATCATGAAAAACTTGGGGGAGTGAAGGTCATCAGGTTGTTAATTTTGTGCTCTTTTTACAGTGTGTCACAGATGGAACCAGTTGTTGATACTTAGAATGTTAACCCTCAAAATTTGCCATGAAAAACCTTTTTTTTGTCACTTGCAAGTGTTTGTTCCCGATTGGTTAAAAACAACCGCAACATGTTCCTGTTTTAATACATTCTATTGCACAGCTGCAACCAATTTTACTTTGCGATCTAAATAATTTATTCCAGACTGATATTTGGAGGTACTGGAATTAGAGGATGGCATTAAAAGGACAGAATAATAATCTCTGCTGAGCTGGAAAAGTGGGTATACTGTTTCATAGCCATGCTGGAAAACGAATAATGAGTGTTTCATTTGTGTCCAGTGAGCAGAAAAATTAGTACATTGGTGAAACTGGCAATAAAACAGCAAATAAAAGAATTAAAGATAACAGCAAGATAACTCATAGCATTAAGAAAATTTGCATCATGCTCTCTTCCACACTCACTAAAACAGCATTTTGTGACAGTTCAAGAAATTGTCATTCTGGCCTGATCTGACAGTAACAAAGTGCTGGAAGAATGGTGGGGTTTTGAGCATAAATTCCCATAAAGAATGTAAAGATTCTCTTCTTTCCATAAAGATGCTGATAATATGGTGCTAGTTGTTGTTATAGTTGTTGAACTATTATTAGTTTAATTCTATAGAGAGGAATTCCAATAGTTTAGTTTACTTTATTGTCATTGCACCCCGTACAACGAAATCAAACACCATCTTCAGTGCAATATACCTGAAATCAATGAAATTAAGCAATCTGTTCACAAGTGACATAATTCTAACTACTATTGTACTGCCCATTCCCTTCCCCACAAAAAAATAGATGTATCTCCACCATTACTAAAAGATTTGCCAACTCTACTTTACAAATCAGTACAGATTCCTAACCAGAAGAGCTGAAGACTGTCTTGAATGAGTTATCAACTACTTCCCAACAGTAACCTATGACCCAGGTTAATAACCATCCATTTCAAGGTAATGCAAAGATAGTTAATTCTTGGCAGGTTACAACATCCTGCTGAATTGCCTAACTTTAGATGCTAAGCAAGATCAAGGCTAATTACTATTTGGGTGGGTGACTACCAGGAAATTCCAGAGGTGTAGGCTAGATGGGAAGTTGGCAAACATTTCAGAACAAAGCAATGGCAAACCAGTTCAAAACTGTTACCAAGATAAGTGTGTGAATACGCATATAAAGTTATTAAAAGTTGAACTCTGAAGACTATAAAAAAGCTCAATAGACTTGAGCACAAGAGAAGTACAATTTTTTTAAAATGGGTTGTTTTTGCAAGTATCAAAACTAAAAAAAAACATACATTGTAGAAAGGGGTGAAGTTGTTATTGATTTTTAGGTTTCATGAGGGAGCAGCACAGCAAAACTTCGAGAACCTGAAAGAGAGATAATGTTGCTTTAAGAGGTCCAGGCTAAAGTTAATGCTGCTCTTAAAGCAACAACATATTTGCTCATAGCAGCATGAAAGCCTGAAAAAACGTTAGGCTGCTCTGATGAATTTAATAATCTAATGAACAGGTGCTGCATTGGCAGGCATATAAAATCCAAAAACACTTTGGTAGTGTGCACAACTCTGGCCGTATATGTGAAGATACACATACGTTGCTATTGTGACTAACCGAAATTGATCCACAGAAGGATGAAAACCTCTGCATAGCATTGCAGGCTTTAAAATGTTATGGGTTGTAATTGAGCACCCTACTCTCGTGTGGGTGAATAAGTAATGGCTTTTGCTTTCCAGGTCGAGGGCTGAGAACGTGTGTCCAGAACCGCCCACCCCTTTCTTTCTCCTTCACAGAGGGCATCTGGTGAAATTACCTGCTAAGAGAAAACAAGGTGGAAAAGAAGAAACTTCTGCCCGATTAACTTTTTAATACGCACATAATTTTGCAAAATGGATTTAAAAATACACCAGTGAGGTTGTTTTCTGTCCGTGATGTTAGCCTGATGTTGAAGATGCAGAAATTTAGTGGTATTGATCACAGAACAGAGTCATTCAAATGGAGATAAAAGCTTCCTTTGTGGTGGCATTCTGATTCTCCAAGAATTAGAAGGCCACCACAGAGGAAGAGCCTACACCAGGTTCCCCTTTCTCCTTGTTGCTTCTATAAGTACTTTAGAGCTTGTACTGCAGTTTGCATGTTGCATCAGAAACTCTATTCAGTTCCATGTGATATAAAGATAAAGGTTCAACGTCTTAGTTTTGACATCATTGTGGAATTTAATGCAGAATGGAGCTCATAACTTTTTACAGAAACCACAGTGCATGTAATATTTTAGATTTCAGGCATCAAGCCACGGTTACCAATCAGAAACAACATTTTATTTTCAGTCTCTTTTCTATTACCCATGTATAGGAAGTCACAGCCCTCGTGATCACAGGTTTCGCCGGGTTTCCCATTCATTTAAGTTCTCTTAAAGCAGGTTACACTTAAGCACAGAGAACCAATAGCCTTATTGCATCAGTAACGTATGATTTTGATTATTAAATTGTTCCTACCACTAAATTAATAGAACCAACAAATGTTTAATGGCTCCTTCTAGTTGTTGATTGTAAAATCCCTTGCACAGAATAATTTTTTAGGACTTCTAGTCAAACAGCATCTGATCTATTATTTCACCATAAATTATCTTAATAACATTGCATCAATATATTTTTGAAAATGCAAACTTTGCAAACGATATATTGTAGCATTGAGGATTATTTTCATGATGATGCATGCACGTAACTTCTAATAGTGCATTATGCGAAAACATTTAGAGGCTACTGTGCTTACCGTTCTCGAGGAACCCAAGTTCAGATCTGAGATAGGGGTTGTGCTTTTAAAAAAAATCAAGATTCTTATGGCACACGGGGAGGGGAGAGTAGATAGCTCTGGTGCCAGAGTTATAAATTTCATATTACATCCACTTATTTATTAGAGGCTTTTCCCCCGTATCATTCATATCTGCTCTTTCTAAAAAAAATATCCACAAAATATTTACAATAATTATACATATGTACTTTTGCCAACGGGAGAGTCCAGAATTCAAATACTGCCACTTTGTTTTGGCAACAAAAAAACATGTGAAACTTTTTATATTAAAATGCAATGTTTCCCAAACATGTAAACTATTTAACTATTAAGCTTGTATCCTGATTTTACAGAAAAGGGCAACTACTTTGACAAGAAGCCACTTCTCCCCACCCCCTTTGAGGAACTAAAGAGCTGGCAAATGTTGATGTATAAAATGCAATTATATGCTAATAAACCGGGGGGGGGGGCATTAAAAAAAACTCAGTGTAACTCTACTGTGAATAAATTCTGCCACTGAAATATCAAGCAGTATTCTTAGATTTCCCTGTTTGTATGTGTAAAGCATTCTTATGGTCTGTAATAGTGCTGATGATATGAAGCTGCCAGTGGTTTCTGGCATCTTTGAGTGGCCACCTGGACCCCAGAGCCCCAGCTGGACCCATTTTGTCCCTATTACTGGTTCAATTCCCCCCCCCCCCCCCAATATGATTATAATCCCATTTGGAGAAGAATTCCCAGCTACTATTTAGTTTGCCCAAAGTGACCCCACTTAGTGGAAAATAGAGATTCCAGCTGGCTGATCTTACCACTAATACTCACCATTGCCAGACAAGCAAAGCACTGACTACTAGAGGAAGCCCACAAGAATTATTTTGTCTCTTCCATCCTAGAAAAGACAACCTGGGCAAAGACATCTTCCCTGGGTAACCTTCTGTTTTGTTCTCCTTTTTGTTCTCTTTTTAAACTATCAAAGTTTGATACATTTTTCATATGGCAACACCTTCCTCAACCTACAACCAGCCTACAAACCCCTCAGACTTCAAATCAACCATACAGCCAACCAGAGACAGCAGCGACCCTCAACCAACCCATGCAACACCCCTGCCAACCAGTACTTCACCTCCCAATGACCCTCACCTGACATGACCTCCCCATCACAAGACCTGTGATGACACAAAAGCAACAAAATCACAAAAGTAGGTATAAAGTCCCTTTAATTCCTCCAACTTGGCCCCCAATGTCCAGTTATCATTGGCTGGAGAAAAAACTCCCCCAAGAACAGTTTTTAAAGGGAAGAAATTCAGTCTGAACCTAAAGTACATATAAATTATAAATAAAAACCAACACAAACCGTGCTGCAGCCAGTGGTGTTATTTTTTCCGGTTCTTCAAACTGGGAAGAATCATACCAACCAGTTCTATAGAACCGGTCCAACCAGGTAGAATTCCACCCCTGATAAAAATGTACTGGATGTTTAAACTTTCTTCCCAGATGTGGCTAATGAAGGGAATCAGGGCCCTTTCCTTCTCCATAAGCCACGCAACCCACGTTGCTCTCTTCTCCATTCCTCCCTGTGTGCCCTAGGATGAAGGGGTGGGCCTGGGTGTTCCTGTGAATTCCTCTCCCTTGTTCTACCTCCTCCCTGCTCTGCACAGCTGGACTTTGCCCTTCCCCGGTTTCCTCCACAGCCAACGGAGCCACACACCCCACTCCCTGTCAGCTGTTCATCTTCCTCCTTGGATTCAGACTCTGACAGGGGCATGACAGGGACATGATTGGCAGTGGGCAGAGAGATTGCCGGGGGTGGGGTTCTGAATTGTTCTGGCAGTACCTATGCCCATGTAGAAGTCTATTTTTGTATCAGTTTGCCACATAGAATACATATTATATCATTTTGCTTTTGGGGGAGAAAATATGTGTGCGTGTGTGTGTGTGTGTGTGTGTGTGTGTACACACAGCTGATACCAATTACTTTTCTATGAACAGTCCCTGACAATTTGGAATTTATAATAGCAATAGCACTTTGACTCATATACCACCCTATAGTGCTCTTCAGCACTCTCTCAGCAGTTTACAAATATCAGCATATTGTCCCCAACAATTTGGGTCCTCATTTTACCAACCTCGGAAGGATGGAAGGATGAGTCAATTTGAGTCAGAATCAAACTCCTGACAGTGGACAGAGCCTGCAATATTGCATTCTAACCACTGCACCACCATGGCTCTATAGCACATGCACACACACACACACACAATTATTCCAAACAGAATTGTCTAAGTATATATTCAATATTTTAATCAAAAGGAACATTTTTAATGCAACCAAACGGAGTGACAAACAGCGTTCACCTTGCCAAGCATGAATTATTTCTCCGCTGCTTGGTGCCCCACAGCATTGCTGGGCCTTGGTGCCGGATTCCTCATCTTCTTTTGCTGTCACCACCTTTGTTCCCATCTATTTTGTCATCCACCTACTTGTGGCTAAATATGTACTGAATGTGGCTTCTTCCTGTTGGTCATCATACCAGGTGAAAAGTTCTAACAAGACTGGCAAGATCATAACCAACAAGTTTTTGACAGCAGGATTGGCAAAGAGGACAAAGAAATAGCGATAAAATTATGCTGAGAAAAAACAAGCATTTAAGCAAACAGTCTATGCTTGCAACCTGTGCCTAAATGACTCATACAGAATGTATTTTTCAAGATTCCGGTACTTTATTATTTTTTTTTCCCTTAAAAAAAAGCAGGGGAAGCATAAATCAAGATAAATGATTTGATTTCATTGCTAATCTTGTGAAAGGAAGCATTGCTTTAATGCAGAGAGGGGTGTCCTTAAATGCTCCCATTCTTTCCAGCTCTTTCCCCCAAGTCTTGCAGATAAGTGAATAAAGATTGATAGTAAGTGGTAAACTAGACAGGCAAGCAGCTTTTGTGGGGATCTATGTGAAAGTTTTCAAGAGAAAAATGAACCGATTTCCATAGTCAGAAGGATCCCCTCCATCCTGTCACCACCGATTCAGTCATTTTGCATAATCCTAAACCATTTCAAATTATTTCACTTAAAACAGTTCTTCCATTACTAGGAAACTGAAATTCAGTAATCCAAGTACATTATGTAATAACACTTGTCTCATTTATAGCACACTTAAAAGCTATGCGAGAGAGAGAAAGAATATATGCGCAGAATTAGAACCACAGAGCCACACAGAGGTACTCTTATATTTTAAGAAATATGTTACCGAGCTGAACGATTAGGATGGGTAGGATTTTGGGGTTGTGTTCGTCTTACATTTATATAGTCTAGCAGCCTCATTCTACACCACGTATCTGTCAGTGTTCAGTGTGTCATGACGATGTTAGGGATATTCAGTCCCAAGCCAGATCTCACAAGCATGTCCAGTCCAACCTTCCCAGCACTCGCAGTTTCCACAGTTACATATACCATTTCCTGGAACAAAACAACATATCCATCATTGAAATTACAAATGGTTTGCTCTGTGAAAGTATAAACCGTCACAAAAAATAGATTTTATTTTTCTTTCTACATATTTTCCCCTTCTGGCTTGAACAGAAGCACTCTTGAGGCTTAAGACATTTGTTTTCTCCTCAGAATCAGATCCCTCCAAAATGCTGAAAATGTGGATCCCGAAAGCCCTAAAACTGATTATGGTGGATCACACATAAGCCCTAAACCCCTTTTGTATCTTTGTTAAAAAGGAACGATCCCCTAGGAAGTAGTAACTGCTTCCAAGTAATTCACCCAAGTTCATAATTCAAATGGAATTTCAGCTCAGGTCTCCTCAGTCCAATTCTAGCATTGAGCATTGAACCTATGCGTGATTGTGTGAAATTGCAATTGTGTGTGTTGGTATGCTTGTGTGTACATGAGTGGGGAAGAATATAACACCAGGTAAATACAGCCTGCACCATTTTTAAGACAAATCCAAGTGACTTGGAGTCTGATTTGACACAGGGGTTCTCAACATACATACAAAGATATTTATCAGTGATATTTATGATAGAATATGATATGATATTTACGATAGCGAACATTTATGATATGACAGATGTCTCTGTGTGTCATTTGCTGTTCTTGGGTGTAATGGAATAATTTACTCCTTCCTCTTTCAAAAATAAGTTTTATAATGGAAACTGGAAAGATAGGAAATAGCCAATCAATTCCAGGTTTTTTTTCAAGCATTCCTAAAGACTGTTTCTCTCCCTCCCTCCTTTAAGGAGCTTTCTTGTTGACACTTTATTTATTTATTTATGTCAAACTGGCAGCCCACAGGCCAGATGTGTCATACACAGGTCACACCCACCCCAGCTCCATGAAGGGGAAACCGTCGTGAAACGTCACACGATAACAATGCGGTGAGTTTGACATCCATGCTTTAAGACTTTGCTTCATACACGTAGCCCCTTTCTTTGCTCAGGTCTAATTAGGAGGATTTCCCTCACTTATTCATGAAGGAAGACTATCTTTGAAAGTCAGGAAGCTATTTCTTCTCATTCATTTAGAAATGAATGCAAAGCAATAATTGTTTAAGGATGCTTTGCTTTCTTAGTTTATAGCAGGGGTTGCCAACCTTTTGGACCTCAGGGACCACCAAACTCATAATTTTAAATCCCATGGACCAGAGTCCCTGAAAAATCCTCCCCAAAATCTGCAGGAAAATTCCCCACCCTGTTTTCCTACCAATCAATCATTCGTTATTTGGGGTCGCAGGTTACTGTCTCCAGCTCCGTTCTCAGGGAAAATGGTGGTGGGGGGGGGGGGGGGAGAGAGAGAGAGAGACTCTCTTTTGGCTTCATGCAAGGAAAGCAGCAGAAGTAGCAGAAGTCTTTCTTTCTCTTCCCCAAACTCTGCCAGAAATTAGTCTTTGTGAGACTTGTCACGCCAGCCAGCCTCTTGGAGCAGGATGCCTTGCAGGGTCCTAAGGACTCATTTCTGGCAGAGTTTGGGGGAGAGAAAGAAAGCCTTTTGCTGCTTTCCTTGCATGCAGCCAAAAGCAGAAAAAGAAAGCAGAAGGAAGCAGCCCAGTGGCCAGGCCAGGTGTGTGGGGCAAGTGGAGCAAGTTCCCCACCTCCGCCCTTTCCCCCCTCCCCTCACTACCTCATGTTGTTCGCAATGCAAGCAACACGAGCCTTGTGTTCCTGTGGGCCACGTGGGCAGCACAGCCTTGTGTTCCCACCCAGCCTGGACTAATTGCCTTGGGAGGGGGGTGCTTTGGAGGTGACATTTCTCTGGGGACCACCAAAATTTTCTCATGGACCACCAGTGGTCCCTGGCCCACTGGTCGGTGACCACTGGTTTATAGTACCTGCTCTGAACTCAAGAGGCTGTTGGATGAGTGAGAGCATGCAATGTTTTAGGAGCAGCTGAAATGTAGTGTGTCTTCTCAGAAAAAAGTTAGGTTGACTGAGGAGATCATACAACACCTGTGCAAATAAGGCCATCATATTTGTCACAATCTTGGTCATCGCATTCGCAGAATTCTCCTGAAATATACCATTCCTGGGGAGAACAGATGCATTTTCCACAGTGACAGGAACCTGAAAGCACAGAAAAATCATTACAGGCACTCAAAGAATAGCTGAACTTTTCAATCAGGCATGGGACATCTTAGATAATCAGTGCCTATCAATAAACGATTGTCTACAAGGAGTTCATTGTGATAAAAGCCTACTGGTGAGAAGGATGTTCTATGGGGGGGGGGGGGGCTCTAATTTGAAGGTATTTTTTTAGGATGCTCTATTATGATTTCCCTCCATTTTGATCTAATCAGGGGTTGCTTAGAAGAAGGACATTTTGTCTTGGTTCCAAAGCTCTAAAATCAAAGCCGTTCTTCTCTGCGGGATTAAGGGAGAGTGGATGAAGGCATGTGAGAAGATTTAGCTAAGGTAAAGGGAAGAGAAAGGACAAACCTCAAGGTTATTGAAACTACAGAGATGCAATCAGGAATAAAAACAGAGTGAGGTAATAAGAACAGGTCTCACTGGACTGTATATAGCAATGTAGAAACACAATCCTGCTCACGTATCCTACTTCCTTTTCTTCTGAGCATTTTTCCCTCAGGCCAGAGTACAAACATTTGGGCGTTAACTGTATGAAAAGAACACCAAACATCTAGGGTTTCAATCTATCAAGTGTGCTTTATCCGAGGCCATGCCACACTGTACCAAGAAGTCCATCTTTTTAAGCACTGTTTTTTTTTTCAGCAGGGAAGAGTTAATTCAAGAATTGTCTTTAAACTAACAATTTGAACAGGTGTGCAGAAATGCGAAAATCCCACTGAATGTGCACAGCTGCCAGATCATCTTTGAGTCAAGCTGTTGACGCTCTAGAAAAAGTGCAGAGAAGAGCCACCAGGATGATTAGGGGACTAGAGACTAAAACATATGAAGAACGGTTACAAGAACTGGGCATGGCTAGTCTAGGGAAGAGAAGGACCAGGGGAGACATGAAAGCAGTGTTCCAATATTTGAGGGGCTGCCACAGAGAGGAAGGGGTCAAGCTATTTTCTAAAGCACCTGTAGGCCAGACAAGGAATAATGGATGGAAACTGGACAAGGAGCGATTTAACCTGGAAATAAGGAGAAACTTTCTGACAGTGAGAACAATCAACCAATGGAACAGCTTGCCTCAGAAGTTGTTGGAGCGCCATCACTTGAGACTTTCAAGAAAAGTTTGGACTGCCACTTGTCAGAAATGGTGTAGGGTCTCCCACTTGGGCAGGGGGTTGGACTAGATGACTTACAAGGTCCCTTCCAACTCTGTTAATCTGAATCTGGTGCCCTCACTAGTTTCCCTGTGACAGTAAGAGATGCAGATTCCAATCACCTTCTAGTAATCTAGTATGTTTCTAACTCCATCTAACAAAAATCTCTGTCATTTCCTAGGTTTTAAACTTAAAGTCCACGGGCTGGATGTATCACATGCCCCTGCCCAGTTTAGCGAAGGGGGGGAAAGTCCCGATATGTCACGTGATGCCGCCATGATGCCGCCATGATGACACGAGTTTGACACCCCTGATCTAGGTAGTAACCAACCAGAACAATCCTACTTTGTTTCCATCCTCAGACAAGAATGCAGCTTAGTTTTTTTCAAGGTCAGCTAGATGCTGCCAAATAGGTAGGCTTACTCTGCAAAACCAACTAGCCAATACAACTGCCATCCGAAAATGAAGTTGTATTGCAGTTGAATGCTCAGTTTATTCTTAAAATGTATTTATTTGTATCTTACAAATATAAACGGGATTGTGTGTGACTGTGGGGAACACTGTCATGGCTGCAACTTCAAGGACAGTCAGAAATCTAATTTTTCAGTGCCATCATAATTGTGAACAGTCACTGAACAAGGACTATATACCACTTAGTTCTGCTACCCCAAAAGTGTAGCCTGATAGTTATGTGGTAAGCATCAGCAAAATAAAAAAAAATGTTAACTAGCACAATGAGTCCAAAGACCGATAAAAATCGAGTGACAGTAAGAGGAAAAAAGCAATAGGCAATAATTTGCATGGACTCTATTTCCATTTCAAAAAGACCCAGCTTTGTAGGGCCATATTGTGGATGATTAGCATGGGTAGCCCTACAAGCAATGGCCGTTATTTGTTCCAGTGTTGACCTACTGATGTACATAATGACAGTAGAAGAGAGATGGAAAGTAATCCTTCCTCTGTTCTGCACCAAAAAAGGAAACAAGTTCCAGAATGGGATAATGTGCCCAACAATTTCTAGACTTTCAATAGCAATTTAAACCCGGACCTCTTTTTTGACAAATCACATGAAAATTTTAAAAATGTGATTTTGTAAGAGAAAAATCACATGCAGCCACACCCAGAGACACATACACTTTACAATAAATAAAGCACAAAAGGAAAGGTATGCTGTGATGGTGCATGACATTCATGCAAATTATAATCAAATCTTGCAATGCTACTTTGCCTGCCCCAATTTCTCAAAATATTTGAGGAAGGATGGATGCAACTCTGTATTCTTAAATTAAGCATCTCCACTAAATAGATGGAGTGTTATAAAAGACTGGATTTATTCTACGAAAAATAAAAAGTATCATTTCACCTTCTCTTAGAAGATTCTTTCTTCTCCCCTGGATTCAAGGCAAGCCCTATTGTTGCAAATGCCACTGATCTTCAAAGACGAGGACCAAAATACAATTTATAATGAAAGCTGATGATTACAACATGCTAACTTATAAAACCTCTAAAATAACGGAACCGAATGAATTTTGATGAATATGAATTGCATGAACAATGCAAGAGAAAGCGTGTGGGTGGTGGACAAGAACTTTTTCCTTTCTGCTCAAAAGCAAATTTCCTTCTCAGAGGTTTAGCAATTGTAGAGTCGCCTGCTCCTAGTAGCACTCAAAGCCTAATGCTAAAACATATCCCATAATTCACAATGGCCCCATATTGATATATACACCCACAAGGATATTATCAAATGGAATGGTATGCTGCTGGTAAGCAGTTCCTGTGGGCAAAATTTCTCAATGCAAAGTGGAGTATTCCGCCACAAGAATGTTCTGTGATATAAATATTTTGAAAAGCTTTTTTTTTTAAAGCAACAATGGATTACCAAAGGAAGTGCCTCAAGTTGTAAAACACAAGTTGCTCTTTTTTATTCTTCAGGAACAGGGCCAATTGAGGCATCCATCACTCAATCCCCCACTTACTTACCCTTTCCTGAGCATAAGACGCCATCGGCTGATTCACAGTAACTTTTGCTCTCATCTTCGGCCATGTTACATTTCCTTGGATGTTGACACAATTTTCCAAACCATCCATCCTTACAAATGCAGCGACCGCAGGAACAGGTCCCTTGATCTAGATAAAAGGAGAATCCCTAGGCAGGGACTTTAATATGCAGAGGAGTTTACTCACCTTGTCCTTTCAGTGGGGCTCATGAATCTGTATCTATTTCTACCTCACACTAAGGATTGAGGGTGGCTTAAGGCCAGGGGTCCCCAACCTTTTGGTTCTTATTATTATTATTTTATTATTACCTTTATTGTCCGAGTACAACATGTGTATGATGAGATTGGCTGAGCCTCCCTTCGTGCACCCCCCACAACACAATTCACAGTGAAGACAGTAGTCCCTAACCCAGTCCCAATCTCATTACACCTTGTTGCACAATGTGCTGGCCTTGAAAGTCTATCATACTATGTTGACATGAGTTATTTTCCATTCAGAAGTCTGACAGTCCACAGGTAGAAACTGTTCTTCGGCTTGTTGTGTGGCTGGCTATATATCTCCTACCCAATGGTAGGAGAGTGAAGAAGTGCTGACCAGGGTGTGAGTCGTCCCTGAGAATTTTCCTCACTCTTCTAAGGCAGCGAGCCCTAGCGAGGTCATCTAGTGGTATCAGGGAACAACCCACGATGTTTTGTGCTGTGCTCACCACCCTCTGTAATGTCTTACTATGGCTGTCAAACCAGCATCCCACACCATAATGCAATATGTGAGGACGCTTTCTATTATGGACCCGTAAAAGGAAATCATCTGTCATTGTTCCACTTTATTCTTTCACAAGACCCTCAGAAAATGGAGTCTCTGTTGGGCCTTTCTGGCCAACTGGGTCGTGTTGATTTTCCAGGTGAGATCTTTGCTGAGGTAGACTCCCAGGAATTTAAAGGACGTGCAACCTAAATCCTGTGCATGTGCAAATGAAGCTTCACATGCTCACCTGCTGCGGGCAGAGCATTGGGATTCAGCCAGTTTGGGCCAATTAAGGCGAACCGGATGTTAATTTTACATCCAGTTTGGCGAAGTGGTAGTTCCGAAGACCAGCTGGCCCCACCCCACCCCTCCCAGGAGTCTCCACGCACCTGGTTCTGGCTCCCAGGTAAGAGACTTGCTAGGGCCAAAACAAGGTGTGGGGGTACAGAGGCCCCCCATGCCCCGCTTTGGTTCCCAGGAGGCTCCTGGGCTTCCTGGGCCCAAAACAGAGTGCGGAGGGTGCGGAGAAAGAAAGAAAGAAAGAAAGAGGGAGAAATGGGAGAAAGAAAGGGAGGGAAGGGAGAAAGAAAAAGAAAGAAAGAAAGAAAGAAAGAAAGAAAGAGAGAGAGAGAGAGAGAGAGAGAGAGAGAGAGAGAGAGAGAGAAGGGAGAAAGAGGGAAAGAGGGGAAGGGAAGTGAATGAGATATGGATGGATGGATGGATGGATGGATGGATGGATGGGTGGGTGGATGGATGGATAGAGGGAGGGAGAGAAAAAGGAGAGGAAGGAAGGACCACAAACCATGGCACTAGATGCAGCTTCAGAGGATGCTTTGAAACAGCACAGCAATCCAGGGCTGGATGGGACCTCAGAGGTCATCTAGTCCAACCCCCTGCTCCAAGAGCATTGTTAAAGTGAGTTTCTCTCTTTTGACCCACCCAGCCATGACCACCAAGCCACGCCCACAGAACCAGTTATTAAAGAATTTGAATCTCACTCCTGGCATCAGGCCGCTTCCAGCACCTGCTCCCTCCCAGCACTGTGTTTTCTGTCATGTACTGAAGTTAGAAGACAGGGCCTTTCTGCTAATTGTCAGCAGAAGAGGCTTGTCAGAAATCTTGTTCAAAGCCCTAATTCAACTTGGTCTTTCATTTTTAGGTTTTACTGATTTTTATTATAATTTATTTGATTGTTGTGAGCTGTCTAGACCTACTGAGAGTGTGAAAACCCCTGATGAAATTCTTGTTTACAACAAAGTTGCATGATCTTATCCTGGAGGATAATGGTCTTATTAAATAGATGCGTGAGTCCAATTAAAATTGTTGCAACTTCACATAAGTAGCAGAGTTTTCAACAATCTATAAAGGGAAAAGATTCTCTTGCCGGTTTCAGAAAAGACAGTATTCGGCAGATGGAAGGATCTTTATTCAAAGGGAGTAGGGTATTTTTGCCTATTTTAGAATGCATTTCTAATTCTTGTATTGTGTCAAAATGGAGGATGATCTCAGCCAGACTTGGAGAACGATAGCTGAATAAGAAACTCTGAAAACTATTCTCTTTCCCCACTCTCCCTATAGAGATTTAGGCATGTCTTTCTCCCTGCAAGATACATGATAGCCACATGATGCAAGGCCTTATCATATTCTTTCTTTTCCCACATCATTATAGTTGTGCTTTTAAAGTTGAAGCAACGTTTCGGCAGAATCTCATCTGCCATCATCAGGCTTCTGTATAGTGTTCGTCTGTGAGTCAGACTTTCACAGCCTTTTCTGTTTTAAATTTGGGGCTAGCCTACTGCTGTGCCAGAATGGTTTTTTCTTCATCCTGATTGGCTGGGAGTCTTGGTCTGTGTTTATTGGTCTTGGAGTTTGCTGTGTTCTGCTTGATTGGTGTTTCTAATATCTTCTGTCTGTTTTGTAGCTTTTTTGTCTTGATTGGCTGGCAACATTGTGTTTCCTGTATTGGAGGCTTTTAGTGAGGCTTGGCTCCGAGTAAACAGACGGCTATCATTTATAAGGAAGCTAGGTTTCATCTGGGTGCCTGGTTGGGGTATGATTGAGCTGGAGGTATCAGGGGGAATCTGTTTGTGCCCAGGTGTTTGGCTGGCTAGTGGTGTGGAGATTTTTTTGTTTGTGAGTGCAGGCTTCCAAATGATTGACAGTCTGGTGGAGTCATCTCTTCTATTCATGCTTTCAGGTCTTTTTTCAATCTCTATGGCTTCTCTGATAATTCTGTAGCTGGGGTTTTCTATAGTGGCTACGGTTTTGGTGCCATTGAAGTCAATGCTATGACCTGTGGCTTTCATGTGTTGGACGAGTGAGGAAGTGTGTTCCAGCTTTTTTACTGCATTTTTGTGTTCATCCAGGAGGGTACTTATTCTTCTATTGGTCTGTCCAATGTATGTGGCAGGGCATGATGCACAGGGGACTTCATATATGCCTTGGTTTTCCAGGTCAATTTTATCTTTGGGGTTTCTTAGGATGGCTGCTATTTTTCTGTCTGTTTTGAAGGCAGTCTTGATGTGATGCCCATGTAGTATCTTATTGATTTTATCTGTAGTACCTTTTATGTAGGGCAGGACAGCTGTTCCATAGGTCTGTTCATCTTCTAGGTCTCCATTATGTCTCAGTGTGTTTTTGTGGATCAGGCCAGTGATTTTGCTTTTGTGGAAGCCGTTGGCTGTCAGTACTTTAGTCAGGGTGCATAGTTCAGTCTTTATGTGTGTCTTGTCTGCCAGGCGTTTGGTTCTGGCGATTAGTGTTTTGGCCACGGAGTTTATCTGTGCTGGGTGGTGGTGGGATTGGACATTGAGGTAGCAGTTGGTGTGTGTTTTCTTCTGGTATATGGTGTGTCCTAGTGTGCCATCTGTTTTTTTGTAGATTAGTACATCTAGGAATGGTAGTTGTTTGTTTCCGTTTCCATGGTGAATTTGATTTTGGGGTATGTGCTGTTTAGGTGTGTTGGGAAATAGTTTAGGTTTTCTTTTCCATGGGGCCAAATCACAAATGTGTCATCGATGTATCTTAACCATAGTTTGAGTTTGTGGGTGGCATTGGCTAGGGCTCTGGATTCGAATTCTTCCATGAACAGGTTTGCAAGGACGGGTGACAGTGGTGATCCCATAGGGGCTCCTTCAATTTGCTTGTATCTTTGTCCTTTGTATATGAAATATGTGTTGGTTAAACAGTGTTCTGCTAGTTCCATGAGGTATTTATTTTTGATGATTTCGAGGGTTTCTTTTATCGGGACTTGAGTGAATAGTGAATCCTCGCTTGGGCCTTGCCTTTCAGCTTCCTGTTCCTGTGGCAAGGGCAGGTATCCTATCGGCTGCTGTCAGACTCCCATGGGGCTATGCAGTCACACCTCAGGTTGTCTGTGTCCCAGGCTTGGTTGTATCTTGCTGGGTGATACAATGAAAGGCAATTTCCTATTGTGACTGAATGGCTTTGCCCTGAAGGGCAATTCCATCATCCTGGAGCTGAAGTCTTTTGTCTTGTAGATAAGCTGGCACCAAAGTATCTGCTGGGGGCAGGGATCTGGGGCTGAGTTTCTGTGTTTAGAATCATGTTTCTCATTCTGCCTTTTTAATATTTCCTCAAATATTTCATTCTTTTAAGAGGCTGGGTGCCAACTTTCTTCAGTGAAAACACTTGGAAACAAAGGGCTCTTCTACATACAAGGATCAAATCTTTACATATCTTTATAATGCCATGTATCTCCCGGTGGTTTCTGCACTTGACCTGATTAACTTCAGTGATTAATCGCCTCAGCTATTCCACATAGAATGCAATGAAGATAGATTTGAGCTATTTTCTCCATCGCTGAGTAGCACACAATTCCTCCTGAGGGAAGATTTCTCTGCCATGTCACAGTTCGTAGTTCCAGGGATATCCCTTCTATTCTTAAGCGAAAACACCATCCTTCCTTGCTAGCATTCCTCTCTTGTAGGCAATTAATAGAGAGCTTTTGTGTTGTTGTTTACTGTTTTTTTTTCAGCAGAGAAAGCAATATAGCAAGGGAGGAACAAGCAAGGGAGCAGAATCTCATTAGTTGCCATTTTTAGACCCTCTCCACCCCCCCCCCAAACCTCCCAATTTTCTCTCTTCTGGAATTAGGCAGTTCAGAAGCAAGAAGAGAAAATACATGGGAAGAGATACAGCACTGCAAAGACGCTGCTGGTATGAGAGGCAAAATATCTGGCTGATCTTCGGTTGTCTTTCTATTTGCATCCATGTTAAACTGCAGATACGCAGGAGTCATTTTGCCTAGCCCTATCAGAGGAGTGGATGTGGCCAAGAACTTAATATTTATTTAAGATAAAGTGCCAATATGGTTAAGTGGATGGTTTGTCCATTAAAGTGAGCAGTGTTTATTCTCTTCTGAA